ACTGCAGTGAAATTTTAAATAATGAAATTTCACATGATACCGAATTTACAGGAGGCTATAGATGTTACAGAATTTATTCATGTTTTGATAATGATGGGTTTGTTTTGCTTATTTTAACTCAGCCTGGAATTTTGCCCCAAAAAGTTACATTATACTAGGATGCTTTTCACTTCGGTGCCATTTATAATTTACTTTACTGATAGATGTTCAGGGCAAAGACAGCAAAAACTCCTCAAGGATAGGAGTTGTCCTATTCGCTTTCCAAAATGATTACAGCACAGATTGCCTGTTTTAAAGCCTAATTAAAAACAAATCTGTCAAGGCTTCCAGCCATCTGGTCAATGATGCCAATAGCTGTTATTAAAAAAAAAAAATCAGCTGAACTATCTTATTGGTTGGCCACTCTAAATACAGAGTCAGACTCCCCAGTGCATGCTGCCTGTCTCAGTGGAGCAATGCTGCCTGTAAAAGTGCCAAGCTCTCACATACCTAACTGCAAATGTGAGAGACCTTTCAAAAATTCAAAACAGAAATCAGCTAGGAAACAGATCTTTTTATACGGCTGCTTCTGAGCTCCACCATACACACACATCACAGCATGTCCTTACATACTTGTATTTTGTTGCTAGCAGCTCATGATGTTGAATCCAGCCAAATCACACTTACTTCTATGACACCTGGGATACACGTCAACGTTGTGAATTCATACGAGGCAGCTTCACTGGCTGTGGAGGTCATTAAGCTCAGAAACGTGGACTGAAAGACAAGAAATCAATAATGTGAAAATATGAACAAACTAGCTGGACTTACCCGGCGTTGCTCGGGAAACCAGAGGAACAAAATTTAGAAAATTTAGGAAAGAAGGGGACCCTGAGTCAGGGGACCCCTAGACCCTGGGGGCTGATGGCTCCTGGCCCACACCTGACCCTCTGAGAACAGCAGGACCCTCCTCCCCCCAGGACCGAGCAGCCAGCCCCCAGGAGAACAGTACACAGTCATGCGGCCAGTAGCAAAGGGACTTCTCCTTGCAAGGTTGGCTCAGGAATCCACCTGCCCTGCCTTGGCAAGCAAAAGCTCAGAGCTCACATCTAGCCCCGATGGCTGGACCCAGACACAGAAGAGCCCCAGTCACAGTATGAACAGAAGCCAGCCGGCTTAACAGCAGTGTAAGGCATTGAGGATTTAACCCGGCCCCTCTACCCTGAGCAGCAGCAGGCACACGGATTCCTTCTGCTCGGATAAGCCCAGCAAGCTGAGCAGAAAGGCTGGCTGGCTTTGGTTTTGGTTTCCCAGGAGGGAGAGAGGGGGCAGGTGTGGAGCGACCCCGAGGGGAGGGGAGGTTACATGCGGGAGGGGCGCCCCAGCTCGCGCCCAGGGCTGCAGGTGCCACAGGGGGCAGGGCGGGTACCCAAGCCGTTGTGTGCATAGGGGTGAGGGCACTGCGTGCCGGTGGGGACGAGGGAAGAGGGTCAGTTATGTAATCTCATAGGCAGGAAGGGGCAAGTCCCAGGGGGCTACACGTGGGAGGGGTGCCCCACTTTGCGCCTGGGGCTGCAGGTGCCATGGGGGGCAGGACGGGACCTCGATTGGGTCCAAAAGTACCTTAAAACATTCTCCTGGAGGAAAGGTTATCCCCTGCACAGTTTGGTTGCGGTAGCTCTTATAGTGTCCAAGTTATTAGAACACAAATGTTCTCCTTTATAGATTAGGTGATTCTGCACAGGGAAGATTCTGCTCCATCTCCAGACATGTTAACAAGCCGTTCCAGGCCCTGTGTAGGCACAGAGCACACTGCATAGCACACCTACTTTCCTTAACCTGATTGTAGTATGCATTTTTACCCCAAGAGGGACTTGAACCCACAATTCCTGGGTCAAAAGGCTAGTGCTTCATCCATTAAGCCACCTGATTGTAGTAAGAAAAAATTGTGAACTCACCAGAAGTTACCTCCCTGGGATCAGTGCTCAGCTGGGAGACATCCTGTGAGGAGGGGACTGGCTCCAATGTTATAAAAAGTTCTTGGTTCTCGCTGATCGCTGGTTGACCATTCTCCTCTTCCTCCTCTGCCATCATGTGTCTTGGCTGGACTCCACGGTGGAGGGGGTGGAGCGGGGCACTGTCTGTGTGGGGCACAGGCTGGCAGTTAGGGAGGTGGCGGGGAAGGGGGGGTGGCAGCGTGCAAAAGAGCTGACCCTGCTCCCCCTTCTCTCTCTCCCCCCACCTTGTGTCTGGCCTGGTGCCGATTTTAACCCTCAGTGCCCTTTTCCATGCCAGTGTCCCTGCTGGTGCCCCTGCTCTCCCCTGGTCCACCTGCCTGCCGGTTTGCATGTCGGCTGAGGCGTGCCTGCGCCGTGAGGGCAGTCCTCCGTGCGCCGCCTCTACGCCGCGCCAGAACCCCCCCGAGCCGCGGGGGGGGGGGGGGGAAGTGGTGCCCCCGTCACACCCTCCCAGAGTAACTTAAAACCTTCTCTTGGAGGAAAGGTTATCCCACGCAAAGTTTGGTTGCAGTAGCTCTTATAGTGTCCAAGTTATTAGAGCACAAACACACAAACATTCTCCTTTATATATTAGATGCCAGCATTAAGGATTTTAAGGAGGCGGGTAAATGGGTAATCATATTATCAATACAATTTGTATCAACTACACGATTGGTTGATAAGGGAAGGCACTCAGAAGGAGCTACCCCCCCGTAGCTTTGTAGTTTAAATGAAGTAAGAGCCGGGTGCACGGCCAGCCCAGCTCCTACTACATTTAAAAGGCAGAGCCACAGTAAGGGTAGCTCCTGGCAGCAGCTGGGATTGGCCTGGCTTGCTCAGCGCTGGCTCCAGCAGCCCTTGTCTGCAGGGGGTCCCAGCGGGAAGCTGGGACCCCTCACCGCTGCAGCGCCTATCTGTGGGGGGTCCCAACTCCCTGCTGAGACACACACACACCTGCAGACAGGAGCTGCTGCCAGAGCAGCCTCCCTTCCCCCGGCTGCCTCTGATAGAGCATGAGTAGGTATATAAAGATAGATGGAAACAATGCACATAAACGAATGCTGAACTAGCATGGGGAGAAAACTATTTTAGTTTTATCAGCCCTGTGCTCTTGTTATGATGGGCATGGAAGTTTTACATGTGAAGTGATATACTTGGCATGTTCTCTTGAATGTCAGTTACCAGACAGCCCTTTCAGACCTTTCACAGTGGTGCTGCTGTCAGATAGGAACAAAAAAAGGTTTTGGGGTGCACCAACTGTGTTATGCATGCAAGAGTGATGAAAGATTTTCCCTAATTTTAGATTCTAGGTCTGGGTATGGAAGTAACATTCTTTCTATTTGTTTTTGGCAAATGAACACTTAAGTTGTTGAAATACACAAAAAGTCAGAAACATAGTGGTCAGATAATAAAAGTATATTTCAAAAGACTGAAAGCAAATTTATGAATTGCACATACTAGAGAGTCAACTCTGATTGTCACTGACCTTACCCACAGAGGGAAATCCAATCAGTGCTACCCTGGCATCTCCAGATTTCATCACATCAAAACCTTCCCCTTTAGCCGCAGCGGATTTGGACGGTTCTAGAAGTTGAGCTCTGTACTTTGCAAGTTTTGCCTTGAGTAGGCCAAGATGGTACTCGGTAGCTTAAACAAAATAGCAACAAAAGTAAATAAAAAG